GCGGAAGAAAATGGATGGATGGATGGATGGATGGATGGTGAGTTGAGCAGTAGAGTTAAGGATTTGTTTACTGAGAGTTACTATAAAATGAAAAGTAAAAACAGTATACTGTATCAGTGGCGGCTGGTCCATAGGGGGCGCTGTATTGTTTTTTCCATCCAATAAGAACTGTAAGCAGCGTCTTACAGAAGCAAATGGTATGCTATAATGTTTCTCAAAACATTACAGGTTGCAAACACTTCTTGTATCCCTCTGCCAGGAAATCTTTCCACACAGCTTATTTAAACCAAACAGCCAAGTCTTTAGGATTCCGTGTGTTTCTCTGAACCAGCCATTCATCCTTTATTTGATTATGTATAGTTTTTTCTTCTGCTTCTTTTCTGTCATCACTGTTTGCAAAATACATCTAAATAAAATGTTTGCCCACTAGATGAGAGTAGTGATCATCTCCAACTAACAAATCCATCCTAGTTCAGTGCATATGTCTAAATATATATACATACATGTACCATTAAACCCTCGTTACTATTTAACATTGTTTATTCATGGGTCACGTCCTCATCATGTACTTACATGTACTAGCAGAGTAAAATATGCAGAATTGGTGCCATCTGTTGCCATAAATGCAATGGAGTCTTCTGTAGTTTCAGAGTTGTCATGGTTATACCTGAATGAACAATTAGCCAAAGAATCATGAAAAATACAGGCTAACCTATTTTAGTTTTTTTTTATATAAAACCAGCAAAATGATTCTTCTTAGTTCTTGGATTTTACCAATCCACATTTTATCTGAAACCTCCCCCAATGTTCATAGAGCCTTGGCTGAGCTAGGAGACTGTAGCTGCGTTTCCATTGGCCATGAAAATGCGCAAATTAGAATTTTGGAAATAAATTTGCTCAATGGAAACACATCAGTTTCGAGAAAATTACGTTTTTCGACAAAACGTTTTTGCGTTAGGATGAGGTGGTATTTCAGCCATATCRAAATTATGTTTTTCGCAAAACTGCAATGGAAACACTTTTTTCGCATCACGGGAGTCACGTGATCAACAACTGGTTGCTTCTACTGGCGAAAAAGATGATGACGAAGAAGACAACATGAAGTAGAAATAGTAGTAATATCACAAGTAGTATAAAATAGTAAACTCACCGACCACAATTTCCCAAAAACAGCATACGTAGCCGCTTCCAAGTAGGGACTTGTCGCTAGCCTGGCCCTTGCCTTCCTAAGCAGCTCCGCTCAATTCTAGTTTCCCTTCTCTGCTCCGTCTGGGACTTCTCCCATTGAGATGGATTTTGTTGGCAGATTTTTAGCCGGGCCAATCAGACAACAGAACGTCAATTTTCTGTGCAGTGTCTGCTTGTAGTTTATTTTACCTGGGCCAATCAGCAAACAGAAGGAGGGGCTTTGAACGATATCAATTTTCTGTGCAGTGTCTGCTTGTAGTTTATTTTACCTGGGCCAATCAGCAAACAGAAGGTTTGAGTTTTGAATGACGTTGATGTTCTGCGCAGTGTCTGCTAGTTATTTTAGCACACGGCAGTGCAGGAAGAGAATGAAGCCAGTCCGTGTTGATAAGGCTTCCAAATTAAATTAAATTTGTCTGTCAATGCAGCAGCTCTCATTTACAGTCGTCTCGTTTGGCTCAGTACTTTTCTCCTTTCAGTAGGGTTGTTTACAGCACACACGATTTCCGGTTAGCTTCTTAGCTTAGCCTCCTTCACAGTGGAGCTTGCACTTGCAGCCAACCGATCCAGTCATTTTAAACTTCAGCAGAGGCCACGCCTCCTGCAAGAAACGCTTCTCTATTCAGCAAGTCCAGACCCTTGTACAAAGCAAAGTGAAGGACAGGGTCTGGTTTAAACCAGGCTAACTTGYCGCTGGAACGCCTCGATAAAAGATGCTGACGTTCCCTCTGATGATGAGTGCTAATGTCGCGGTACCAATATGCCATGAGTTTACATCCATTGCCGCCATGTTTGTAATGACTTATCGCGAGAACAAACGTATCCACGCGTGACTTTAATAGCATTTCTTACTTAATGGAAACACCGCAGTTGCGAAACTGTGTTTTCGACATTAACAGAATATCGACAAAGTTTTGTGCACATTTGCAATGGAAACGCAGCTTGTGATACTTAAATCAATTAAATAGTACAGAAGTTTAAATCTAACCAAACAGCAAATGAATTGAATCACACATTTAGATCAGTCAATTTACTGAATACTCATCTCATAAGGTCCTAAATAAGTCATTCAAAAAACAAAGTCCAAACTGTTTTGTGCGTTTAGCTTTTTKTGACTTTCAAAATAAAATCCTTCACAGGTTGAATAAAGGAATAATATCTGACCTAACTTTAAGGCTTTTCAGGTCTTGCAGATCAAAGGTCTGGCCTGCTATTAGTGGATCACCACTAAGGTGTAGAACTCCATGCTTTGGTTCCTTATGAAGCTCCACCTTCAAGGCCTCCGGCACAGAGTCCACATCTGACACATGCATGTGTTCAGGGCCCAGCAAGCCTTCCCCTCCCTCATCAACAGTCAATGAGTTGGTGATGACCTGAAACAAAACATATCCATATTATATTCACATTCACACACAATACATGAGAAAGGAGGGGACAAACGTGCTTCCAACCTGTGGTGGCTGGTTGTCCACTGGGACTATAGTGATGTTAAAGCAGATCCCAGGGACTGTTTTACCCAGATAATTGGTTACAGATAGAACAAACTGGACAGACTGAGAGTTAGGACCAATGTCCAAGAGTGGAGGCATGTAAGCTACTTTCATGAAGTTCACTGCATGCTGAAAAACAGACAAACAAACAAACAAATTATTGCATTTTGAGTAAACAATACCACATGTATTGATGAATAAAACAAAATAAGAAATAGAATAACCTGCGTAAAGAGCCTCAAAACTGGTGCGTTAGCATCTTTGGTAAATTTGGGGATGCTGTCAACAAGAAATAGCCTCCCTGCATCTGGACTGCTGCTCGGTAAGACAATAACCCAAACTTCAGAAGGGATGCTTTCTTAAACACGTCTAAATGAAGGTGAGTTTATACTAACTTGTGAGGACCAGTGAAGAAAGGTGGAGTAGTAACTGTGTATGTGAGCTCGCTGTCAGGAGACTCCTGGTCTACAAAGTGAATCTGCTGCCGTGTGATATGGACCACTTCCGTTTCTTTAATCACAAGRCACCGACTGGAACCAGGAACCTCTTTGGGGGGTTGGTCTGGAACAGGYTCTATGTGAACTACCACCATCTGAGGATGACAGYACATAAAACTGAATCAGTCAACAACAWCCCTGTACAGTTATACTGCACCATATTTATGTGTTCATGAAGTTATTGTATTTAATATAGACCAACAACATTATTCTGTCAAGCTATTTATTCAAACTTTTGAACATGTTGACTGTTTGTTTGTTTATTCATCCATTCACTAATCAGTCAATCCATCCATCCATCCATCCATCAATCCATCCATCAATCCATCCACCAATCCATCCATCAATCCATCCACCAATCCATCCATCCATCCATCCATTAATCCATCCATCTATTCATCCATCCACTAATCAATCAATCCAATAATCCATCCATTCATCCATCCATCAATCTATCCATCCATTCAACATCCATCCATCCATCCATCCATCCATCCATCCATCAATCCATAAATGTATTAATCCATCCATCTATCCATCCATCCACCCATCCATCCATTCATCAATCCATAAATGTATTAATCCATCCATCCATCATCCATCCATCCATCTATCTATTTATCATCCATTCATCCATCCATTTTTGTCCCCCATTGCCAAGGCGAGGGACTTTTATGCTTTCCGTCGGTCTGTCCATCCATGATGGGAGACATCAACAACAGTTGGCATCAAATTCTAAATTATATTTATGTGTTTGATCCTGTTAATCATCAGAAACAACAGGTCTGTCTTCAGAGGTGATTGTTCAAAAAGTGGCTACAGGTGACAAAATGAAACAAACCAACACATTTTATGTATTGTCTTCTGGGTCGGGGGCAAGACGTAACATCAGTTGGGAGAATCTTCTTCTTCTGCCCAGTGGCCAAATTCATTTTACAACAAACTACAACCTAATGAAAAAATAACTAAGTTGTCTGGTGATAGGTGTGTTAACTAATTTGTTTTTTAAGCACACACTTTTCATGATGACCCATAACAGGATCATCCTAAACAGAGGGCACATCAATTAATTATACTTTAGTCAAAGCACAGAAAGATATGTAACTAGATACCGCATAGCAGTAACATAATGACCCCCACACGCACAAATGCACCAGAACTCAGA